TTTCAGTTTATGGATTCAGGACCACATATTAAATGAAATGATTAACACAAATATAAAGTTTGGGACAAAGTTAATGTGTTCTCGCAAATCCATAATAAGCAGTCCCCTGCTCACAGTTTAGAATAAGCTCTATGAAAGTGTTTTTTAGTTGACACTTGAATTTGTGATACTATTTTCCCCTACTTACAGTTTAGAATAAGCTCTATGAAAGTGTTCTTTTAGTTTACACTTGAATTTGTGATACCGTTGTGTTTTTTTTCTTTTCATTTTTAATCAACTAAGTGAAAAGTTAGATAGTCAACCAACTGAACTACTAAAACTCCTCTATTGTTGTGTTTTATTGCAAGTCCTTACCTTCTTGATTTGGCTGTTCAAATGGTTCAATCCATAAGGTCTAGAGTCCTAACATTGCTTTATAAATTCTAATTGGGCCGGACCTATTTGCTATAATGTTGGGCTGAATTCAACTATGAGGCCCAGAAAACCATCTTATTGGTTTGGTGTTCTTTCGAAGCACGAATGTCATATCATAATATAACACAAATATAACACAAGTTGTCCTTAGTTCCTACCTAACTTACACCAAGAGAGGCATAAATTCAAATTTAGACATAATCCACAAGCTATGTCTTGTAAGACATAACCTCGTTCTTACATAACTTTTGGTAATAGAGACATAAGTTCAATTTCAATACCCACAAAATTATGTCTTAAAGAGGCCTAGCTTATTCCTACAAAGAGGTTGTGGGACAAAAAGAAGGCCTCTAAATGTATGCCTTGCAAATTATATACTAAAACACAACTTATGTAGAATCTAAAGTTCTACCTTGAGAAATTTAAATCTTAGTTAAGAGTACTTTAACTCACAATATTTCTTTAAATATGCAATAGGGGCAAAAATAAAGACCAAAGAATGTTTGAACTATAATAATCTCCGCATAACTAATAATTAGACCCAATGATCCCCATCCGTACTTAATAATGACAAAAGGAGAGAAACATCACGATACATATATATCTACACCGAATACTTGCACCAAATCAAGAATACATAACATGTCTATACATACACACATTTATCTCTCAATCATGATTACGCATTGAATATTTCTTTTTATAGTTACCTTCATTTAATATAAACACTCTATACGAATAAACATTTTATAAAAAAGGCAATCATCACAATGCCTGTCCTATGGAAGGCAAAAAAGTTCCCACCAAGATTCATCAAATCCCTTCTTGTTCTCTTTTTTTTTTCTCATTATAAACAATCGAATGTCCTTTTCACTTCAATCCATGAAATTTCCCCGAAGGAACCCACTAGCTTTATCTTTCACTCTTCCAAAAAGTAAAGGTTACTATTTTATCATCTTTACTTTTTTTTTTTTTAAAATACCAACTCTAATTTTGAAAGCAACTTTTCCTGCATGCAGAGGAGATAAAAATGGTTAGGGGCAAATCCAAGATTGAGTTTATGATATTCTATAATAATTTTAAAATAATTTATAAAATAGCTGGATCAACATATTGAGTTTCGAGCTAAATATATTCTAATATATCATAATTTGGACAAAAAGTTATCAAGTTCATATGAAGTCGTGAATCCATAATGCTTGCACTAAATCTGCCCCTTATTAATATGATTAAGTGTGTATATATATTGTAAAGAGTTAGTTTGTTAAACATGTGAGATGCAAAATTTAGGCTTTTGACTGAAATTTTTAGTGTTTGGAATGAAGAAAATTGTTTTGACAAAAAGAAAATATATTTCTGAAAAACAAGTACTTGAACAATAGGCGGAGGTAATGTGAGCTAGGGTGGGTGAAAGGTGCTTTAAACTATGATTTCAACTAGTATAAATAAGCCACTCAAACTATGTTGTTTGAACTTTGTAAAAATATTATTACAGTGGAATCGAATCATGTAAAAAAGCATTATTTTTGGAAGATTCGACACACACCTAACAATATCTTCAAAAAGTTCGAGAAAAACATAGTTCACCAATAATTTGATACAAAGCAGCATCAACATAATAGCCTGCTTTCTCTTCTTTCTAAGACTATGACTATTCTTTTGACCATTCTTTCTCCCTGTTCATCAGAAATAATTCAAAACACTGTAGGCAAGGTACTATAAACATTACAAGTAGGATTAAAAGGGGTTTGCACATCACTATCTGCCAAATAGTTTTCTTACTTTATTGGCCCTACTTAATAATTGTGTCCAAATCATATATAGGTTGACAAGTTTCTTTTTTTGTTCAATCGAAGATTATTTTTTATTAGGATAGTGTTCGGATCAATTTATGTGTACCTTAACAAGTTCATCGGATATTTATCATCTCCCACATGTACACAAATAAGAAGAGATTTTGTCTCCTCATTGACAAGTTTTTGTGCTACGTACTCTTTATATTCCATCTTATATTAACCAAATCTTTTTTTAAGTTGGAGATGTGTTGTCCTTCGATTTCTGTTACTATATGTTAATTCTTTTTGCGTATGTATTATTTTATTCAATTACTATTTGTTGCTTTCTGTTATTAGGTATTATTTCTTGTACTTCCGTCATTTCTTCCATAAGACTAGGTAAGAATAAATTTATGTATATCTACCCTCTTCGGTCATTTCTTCCATAAGACTAGGTAAGAATAAATTTATATATATCTACCCTCTTTCGACCCACTATGTGGGATTAAACCAGATATATATTGTTGATGTTAAGTTGGAGATGAGAAGAAAAAAGTGTAAGCATGGAAGGACGATAGACGGGACCTACAAACCAAAATAAACAATCAACATAAAAAGAAGAGAGAAAATAAGTAGATGGAATCCTGATATTAATGTATGTTCAAATGTAACTTTCAACTCTTAAAAGTAAAAGTGACACCATGAGAGACAGCTAGAGAAAAATAAGGTGTTTTTTCAAACAGTTCTTTTTCTTCTATTAATACATGTTAGGAAAAGAATTTAAAATACTCTTAAAGTATTGAAAATGGTACGAATATTCTTTTCATCTATCTATTGGCTTCAAAATACTCTTGAAATCCACCTTTGGATTCAAAATTGACCACTTATTTAATTTTTTTAAAATTAAACTCTTTATATATTTTTAAAAATAATTGGCATTCAACTATTAGCTATAATTTAATTTATTAATATAATTCAAAAACCAACCCACTACTCACTCATTACTAACTAAACCTCACCCAATTAATTACCCAATTATAATATCAAAATCGTCATAAACACTACCAAAACACAATGAAATTATAGATTCCTGAAAATGACATCTAAAATTATTCGAGTCCGAATCGAAACCCCAATTAAATTTAGGTTGAGCCGCTTATTTAGGAGGACAGTTTCAAAAGAATTCTCTTTCAAGATTTAATTAGAAATTTATGATTAAAGGTAAAGAAGTAATACATCCCGAATTAATTCATGCATTTTTAAAAAAAATATAATTTTATAATTTAAAAACCTTTAATATATTATTTTGAAAATTTTTTACCTATGAAGTAATATCACATAATTGAGACGTACGAAAAATTAAGATGAACATAATCAGACTTTTAAGCTTATCGATAATTTTCATTTAGAAACTTGAATGTATGATAATTTACTTATATAGATATTTTCACCTCAAATTTTTAAAAACACTCAATTGACAATAGTTTTTCTGTTGTTGCATTAATAATGTGACAGATTTATTAATTTGGAGGGGTTTAATTAATAATGGGTGGCTAGTGAATTGATTTATAAATTATACTAATAAATTAAATTATAACAAACCACGTATTTAAAAAAAATTTAAATAATTTAAATTTAAAACCGTTAAATAAGTGGTCAAGTTTGAACCAAAAGATGGATAACAAGGATATTTTGAAGTCAATAGTGGGTGAGAAAGTTATTTTGGAGCCAATAGGTAGATGGAGGATAATTTTGTATCATTTTCAATATTTTGAAGGTATTTTAGGTTCTTTTCCGTACATGTTATTGTATTATTATTATGTTCTGTTTTTCTTGAATATTTTGTAATGATTTTATAATTATTTGCTTTGTCTGCTTTGGACCTTCATACTTTTTAAAGTTAAATTGTTTTGTTAGAAGTTATTTGAACTGATCTTTCGAAATTAACCTATCTACCTCTAAGATAAGAATAAAGTCTGATATATCCTACCTTTCCCAAATCTCACCTGGTGAAATTATACGGAGTTGTTGATATTGTTTCAAACTTACTAACACAATTAATTCAAATTTGTCAAGCATAGGACCCATATAAGACACCGGACTAAAAATAAAGAGATTTTATCTGTACAAAATTATCTTTTGGTGGTGCTTCTTTCGATGGTCAACCACAACATGATTTATGAAACAGGGAGAGCTAGCTGTCCCTTTTCTTTAAAAATCTTTCTTTACTACGGACAGTAACAATTCAGCAACATTATACAATAAACCCATCTCCCCCGATACGTAATTGAAGTTTATAGGTTCTGAATTCCTCGCCAAATTTTTAGTTCGTTTTAGTTACAAAATTTCACAAATTAAATATTACTAGGCTTGTCAGAAGACTTTAACACATACCTAATATTATAGCTCTACCCCTGATGACGACTGACAAGTAAATGCCTATAGTAAATTAGTTCAACTTTTATACTTTGATTGCGTGAGAATTTTTACTCAATCGGATCATTTACTAAAGGTAGTGGACCTATAAAACGAAAACTAGTTATCCCAAAATAAAAAAAAGATTATCTGCTAAAACATGTAAAAATACACTAATGTTATATAAACATTACAATATATAACCCCTCAGTCACGCCTACCCACGAATTCTTCAAATTTGTCAACAAAAATATCATTCAATTCATCAATCCTAATTTTTTTAAATTCCATCATTGACTAACAAATGAAAAATTTACGGGAAGTTCCAATCCTTAACACGGAACCCTTCAAAAATAATGCATTGTTAAGGATCCGACATGAATATGACACAACATAGCAAAAAAACAAAAGTATTGTGGGGTTTAAATATCAATATAAGATGATTAATGAAAATGTCATCTTAATCCAAGAACCAAAAAGTGTCGGTAGACTAAAATATGGAAGAGTCTCTTCTCATAACTACTATTACACCCACCCATCAAGTGATTTGATGTTTTAAAACAAAAACAAAATGACAAGACTGAGCTCACGGATGCACAGAAACAACACCTAAATCTTCTTGTGATTTCTGTTCACAAAACTTCAATTATTGCTAAGAAAAAAACAATGTTTTTGGTTCGTATGATCATAATGTTCCAATAATGAGCATTATGGGTCCTGGTTGACATCATCAGCAAACTTAGATAAGACATATAAAAGAAACCGATCTAGGTTTTGAACTTTATAGATTTTGGATTCTAGGATAAAGATCGTAAGTGTTAGTGGTTGAGTTTGGAATCTAATTTTGGTATATGTTGAGTGATTTTTTAACACGTACAAGATTTGGACCATAACTATTGACTCCTGTCAAACTTGTATGTTCAAACCTATATCCACTCCGACAGAACCAAGTCTTCTCGTGGCTACAAGAAGATCCAAGGGATCGGTTTGGAGATCGAAAGAGCCCCGGATCAACTTGAATTGACCAAGATTAATAAATAAAACGATTGCTTGGTCGAACATATTAGCCCTCTGATTGTATCAGAGAAGGCACGACTGGTTGGAAGATTGTAGAACCATAACTTGGGTAAACTTCCATCACCCTGTGAGATGATTGAAATTATTATTAACCGCTTCGCCAACAAAGTGCATGTTAACACAAGATTAAAAAAGAGAGCCCAGGGAGAATTTATGGCCATGAGGATTTGAACATGCTTGGAAACAAATAAAGGCGGATTCAAAATTTTAAAATCACTATATCCACTATATTGGAGTATGAGCCCACCCCTTTACCCTTTTTCCATCTGGAAACCAAGGTTTGTCCGGTAGGGCTCAAACTCACAGTCAGAAGGAGCGGGTCTACTATACATGTTATGGGATCCGTACAACGCCACTTAATAGATATAAATAATCTAAACTTAAAATCTTAAAATCGCCTCTGCTGGAGGTAAGCATACACGTCATGTGTTGCATCCCCTTCAGACAACACCCTTACTTCTTTGTGTAGCAATTTCATATAAATATGTATATTTATATAAAATTTTACTAAAATTTAATATAGTACAAGTTGATGGCAGTGGACAAATCATACAAAATGGGAAAGATGGGATAGAAAGAAAACTTACCAAATCTTTCTTTTTTGATCTTTTCATTTATTTTTCTTGATTTGTGAGATGTTGCTTAAATGCAACAGTGGGAGCTATCCTGCAACTCCTCCTCTGATGCTCTTGTACAAGTTCTCCAGCAAACCAATCAAGTTTCTGGAAATTGCTTTGTTCTGCAATTTTCTTACCACCGAATAGTAGGGACTCTACATTTTTCTGTTTCAGCATTTCATCTGCAATTCCCACAAGCTTTTTCACATTGTTAGGACTTGGATCAGCATCTATGTTCACCCCACAACGACCGAAGCTCGATCCATTAGCCTGCATTCGAGAAGAGCTTAACTTTTATATATCGACTACGTAAAGAAATTATTTACTATTAAATTGTCTAAACGATAACAAACAAATGTTCGTAAAGAAGTGAGATTAGCAATCTGACATCAATTTATAAGTTAAATTTCAAGGAAGACAGAGAGGAATTATTGAAGTTTAGAGGGAGCATTAATCATCTACTATTCTAATAAACCACACAGAGAAACTTGTATAGTTACAAGTTATTCTACTTTGCATGTTAATATAAACTTAGTAAACAAAAAGCTATGGTTTCACTTTTTATTTTTCATGCTGCCTCCGGTACTCGCATTTAGGTCCAACAAATCCTTATTTGTGACGCATAAGTTTCATTGAAGAAGAACCGTGTTCCCTATCAGGATTTTTTCCATGCCAAAGCTCAAAATCAAAATTTCTAATTAAAATAAAGAGTATCAGTCCTTCCCACTACAACTTTAGTCAAATGATTAGCAAGTACAAAAAAACATATATTCCATATTTGAATTTGTTTAAGTTATCCCATTATTCTTCTGAATCATCCTCCACTAGAGATTATTATATGTCACCAAGTCAATTATCATACTTTATGCATATAATATTCTCTAGTGCATATCCCATTGGTCAATCTCCTACCTCACAAAGTAACCAGAGTACTTTTTTACATCCACTACACAATATATTTATATATAGTTAACTTGTAAGGGTCATTATCTTTTAAAGTCTTCCTTAATAAGTAATCTGTAAATGGTTTAGAAAAACCACCTTTGGCTGAATAGTAATAGATTAACAGTCTCAAAGATGAGAAAATGGTGGAAGAAGCTCCTTCAAATATGATATTTGTGCACGTTACCTACTATAACAGGTAAAGGTGACCCGAGAATTTCTATAACTCTAAAGTCTAACCTTCTATACCACAATGTAAATTTTTATACTAACATATAACCTAAATGATAATTATAGGTAACTATTCATAATAACTAATAAATGGATTAATCACACAAAAATAAGATAAGTCACATACTACTAGTTTAAAAATATGTCGATAGCATGAAAAATCTTTAAATCGTCAACATAAACAAGTCAAATATGAGTAATTAAATTTTGCTAGATCATTTTTTCAAGTTTTTGATGAATAATGTTGTCCGATATCTGTGATGATGAAAATAACAAATAACTTTAAAATTAATCGAGGTACCACATTTTAAAAATAAAAGAACTGTTAGATGATGATGAATGGTCATCATGCCCAGCTAAATATGGAAAACAACAGCTGTGAACATTTAATGTACAAAATTGGCAGAAAGTGCCATATTGATGATTCTGCAACTGGCTACCATCAGATATTATCCACTTCTGCCAGTTAGACATCAGAAAAGGACTACTCTTTATTATATTCCCAGGTGGGAAAAATTCAATCTTTATCATTATTACTACTACTACTATTATCTACTTTATTAACATTCACATTTTCCTATTTTTCAATCAAGATATTAGTCTATCCCCTTTATCCAGTTGTTTGGTAATGACAACATTGTTTCTAGTAGAGACACATTCATTACAAAAATTCCCCTAGTTGGTAGTGACAACTATGATTTTTCTAATTATGTATCAAGATTCAAGAATTAATTTCATAAAGTGTATGTATACAATAGGTTGACTGAGAAATAATTCGAAATTTTAACGTATGAACGTGTAGTTTCTCAATTTTAATACTTCTATTTTACTCAGTTACTACATTATTTCGTGATTATCACTGTTGTTATTTTCTTGAATACCTTTCTTTATTAATTGACATATTATTCCTCGTAACAATTTTAATTTGCTATACTTAAGACGAAAATTTCTCGGAAATAATTTTTTTACTTTTACATTGCAAGAGAAAGATTTGCATACATTCTTTGCCCCTCAAACTATACATGAAATTTCATTGAATATAATATTATTATTAAGTTTGAAATTTCCGACTCTATAGTGCAATCATTTTTTAGATTTCAAACAAATTATTTGTACTTCTAGTTTGTTTTTAACACAGTTTATGAGCCATAACCTACTTGTTATACTGTAAATTCGTTCAATAAACATGAGAAATCACCAAACTTTACATGTTTAAATTGAAATTCCAACAGTACTCTTTATCTGCATCGATTACTACGTCACACACACATTAGATGATTAAGATAAGCTTCTATAATCTAACAATTTTAGTAATATATAGTTTACTTCACTTCGTGCGCACCAATTTTTGCAACTATAAATATCGAATGCGGATAAATATATTTACCTGAATACGGACGTAATTACTACTCCGACATTGCCCAAACGCCATGGCGACGGAGTGATCCACCATATCGGCGGCACCATCGCCGGAGATTCGGGCCATTGGCTTAGCCCAGTCCTTAGCCTTCCATTTTTTAACATGTTCATATTGGAAGCTTCCTTCTAGAAGCTGCCCTGTTCCAAGTGAAAGAACCAAAATGTCCTCAACACCTCTAACGAAAGGAAATTCCTGTTTGTTATGAAGAACGTGGGTAATCGCGGCGGCCGTCGGGTTGCTCATTGCTAAACCGCCGTCAACCGCCACGCATCCGGTTTTTCCATCGACGGATTTCATACAAACCGGTTCGAAGAGTCCCGGTTCAGCTGATGTAGCCCGGCAAACTTCCCATAACCGGAAATCAAAGCTTTCCGATTCGAAAGCATCAGCTCGGGAGAACAAAAACGGTGCAGTACTGGAAAGGTCATAACAGGGGATTAAAACCGGTTTAAGAGTATCCTTTAACGTAAGGCTTCGACCGGTTTTTTTATCCATAAATGCTTCTTTCATCACTTTCTCTAAACCGGAAGCATCAGAACGGGTTGCGCCACCTCGGAGAACTCGCCGGAGAAAACCATTTCCGGCAGAAGTCGACCCTTTTGAAGGATAAATTCTTCTACCTTGTTCCTCTAGAAGTTTCCATGTATCTTCAGCTTGGAAAACAGGACGGTTTTGATCCTTCGTTGAAAATAACATCGCCGTGAAAATTCCTCCAACGCCGGAACCAACAGCAACGTCGAAATAATCGGCGATTCTAGCTTCTGGATTCCCCGATTTAACCTTCAACGCTTGTTCCAAATACGCTAAAGCTTTACCTGATAATATATTTCGCATTCCACCACCATCAATGCTGAGGATACATATTTTTCCTCGTTGATTCTTAATCGCCTGAATATTTTCCGTCGCTGTGGAGGTTAAAACGCCGTCGTTTTTGCCATCTTCAACCGGAGACGGTAAATTTTTTGGTACCCAAAGCTTTTGATCATCGTAACCAAATAAGAATTTGCTTTCTAGAATAGAGAAAATCTCGTAACTTAGCTTATCTGTATCAATGCTCGGTTCTAACCGCATATCTGATATAATATTTGACTCCATTTCTTAACAAATCCAATTCAAAAAAAACTCCAAAAATTTCAAAAGACTCTTTATTGGAATCACCTAATTTCTCCCATATCCTCAATACCCATCTGCTGATTTTCCCAAAACAAACAGCTGAAAAAATTCAACCTTCAACCCATATAAAGGTATTTTACCTACACAAGCGTGAAGTTTTTCAATCTCCTTTTACCTCAGAGATGCTTCAAAATTGATCTGAAAAGTGATTTTGGGGAAGGAATTTGATCAGTATATATGTGTTTGTTGGTGGGAATATCTCTTTTCCCTCACTCTGTATGTATATGTATATACACACAAAGGGGGGAGGGGAGGAGTATATAGGGGAGGAAGAAAGTTATGCAGAGAAGACAAAAAAGAGGAGGGGAAAGGAGGAGGCAACAAGTTGAGCACTTATTTGACAGTTTTGGTTATCTAAAAGTTTTTGTTTTTTAAGAATTGGACATTTTTTTATCTAAAGTTTTTTTTTTTTTTTTGGTTAGAGTCACGTAAATGAAGACGATGAGTATAAAAAATTACCCGTCCTCAAATTCTAGAAATCCGAACATAAAAAATTAAAAACTATATGGAACATCAGAAAATAGGTAGTAAAAAATATGCTCAATTAAACTCTAACCAACAACTTTGATTATAATGTTATATTTATTTAAAAATCTGCTAAATATATGTAAATTTTTAGTTTGAAACTTAATAACTTTGAAAATCTAGAAATCATCTCGGGGTTGTTTAATGATTTAGGTTTGGAATTTTCATGTTAAAAATTTCAAGTTTGAAATTTCTTGTAAGAAAGCAAACAAATTACCTCTTCTATTAATTTGCAACCTATTACATAAAAGTAAGAGTTTTTGCGCACTCAAAAAATAACGACTACGAATTAAATAAGTCTAAAATTCATAACTCAAAACCTTCAAATTACCGGGCTTTGCCTCCAAGTATGAGTTCATATTGAATCCTATTTTTTTTTCAAAGTTCTACCACTCAAAGATTTTTAAATATTTAATGGAGACAAAAAAAAAAAGATATGCCTAACTTTTACGAGTTCATATTGAATCCTATTTATTTTCGAAGTTCTACCACTCAAAGATTTTTAAATATTTAATGGAGACAAAAAAGAGATGACTAACTTCTATAAATTTAGCAGACTAAAATTGCTCAATAATATACGTATATGACTATTTATCATTATTTTACTTAGTAAGTTAAAGCAAAATCTTAGTCCAATTTTCTATCTTTACAATATTGAGGTACATATATTTATAAACTACATTGTGCTTATATTCTTTTTAGGTTATATATTTGAAAATTACATTGTGCTCATATTCTTTTTAGGTTGGGAACCTTGAGTTTATCAAAAATGTCTTTACCTGCAAAGCTATGAATAAAATATGCTCATATTTTTATCTATTTAAATTTTATTTATAATGTTATATTAAATATGTCATTGTAAATTAAACTGAATACATGGTTATTGCTGCAATAGTCAAAGGATTCCTCATAAATCTTTCGAACCTATATTAATGGTGAATCCCAAACTTGGAAGTTAGAATCCTACCAAAGCAATAAGCATAATAAATGCCATATTGCTTTTTATTAAAAAACTTCTTGTTATATACTTAACAAAAAAAAGGAACTCGCAGAAAGGTGTGAGAGAATTTGTTCTGATATTAAAATCCCAATAGTTGATCAAATATATTGTGGACCAAAGTTAATGTCGTTGCCCTTTATTTATTTATTTTCTATTTTAATGAATAAAGAAGATTTTCTATTTTGATATATTTAATTTTTGTCGGCAAGTTATGCATACGCACTAATTATTGCGCAATTTGCAATGTCAAAAGTTATTTACTTTTGCAAGAGAAGAAAAAAGAAACTATTTCCTCCTTTCATACTTGTTAGTACTTGTTAACATGTAATTGATCTAAATCTTAAAAAATGAGTAGAAAATATGAAGCATTTAGAAAGTAATGAATAGTTTATGATCGTCTATTAATAAATTTATATAAGCATCTTCAAAAGTTATGATGAATAGTATTTTTCATCATTAATCAATTATTTCTTTATGATAGGAACTGATTTTAAATAAGACATGCTTTTATGTAATTCAAGTTTTGAAAATAAAATCAATCTTAATTAGAATATATATATATATATAAATACAAATCTTACTTAGTCGAGACTTGAAGCTATTATCGAAAACAACAAGAAAACGAACAAACAAAAAAATCCTATAAGTAGTTAAGAAACTCGTGTATAAGCATGGTAGCCTAACTAAAGAAGTGAAATCAAAACTTAAAAGATCGAATAGAACAATATACACAAAAGCAAATCCCTTTATTGAGTAAGGTGCTAAGGAATTATCATTTCTATCAGATAAACTACTCAAGAACTTTTAATTTTACGTATCAGAATTCGATTTGAATAAAAAAAAATAGTAAATGGAATTATCGAAATCTTATTTCGTCTTTACTAGAAACTTGAGTAAGGAATAAATTATTTTATTTTTGAATTATCAGAGTTTGAAAATGGTAACTCTTTTCCATATTTGGTGTACCTACTTGGATAGAATGAAAGGGAACTTTCACGTCCAAAACTTGAAGAGTCTCATGCAACTAAAGCACCAAGACCTCTAATATGATTTGATTGCTTAACACTTCCATAATCAAATTTTAATTATACTACCTCTCTATCCAATAACAGTTGTTCAATTTTTACTTTACATTAAAATTAAAAAGACGTCAATGATAGAGGTAATTTTATAAAATTACTTTTGTTAAATACCAGTCATCCTAACGTTGAAAAATGAACAGTATTTAATAGAAATGATAAAATAGACATAACATTGTAAATTATTCATTAATTTTATAAATTGATCAAGTATTATTAGATATTTCATAATAATTTAATGAATAAGTAAAGATAGACAGTAAGAATATTTGTTATGACTAGTTGTTTTGTTCTTACACCTCATGAAGAATGTTTTTAAAATTTCAGTAATTGTTAATTAATTGGTTCTTAATTGACATTTTGTCTTGCAATAATTGTATCCATCCAAATCGATTTTGCTTAAAAAACTATAATTATGTTGGGTGTGGTATTGGTGAGTGTTTCAACAATTTTTACTTAACAAATTGATGTCCTTATAACCTAATAACAAGAATTTTGACAATGGTGTTTTCTTTGTTCTTCTATAATTGTGGTGTCTAGACACATCACTTCACCATGTAACACTTTATCCATCAAAGATTGGACAGATAGAAAAGAAATTAGCCAAGTAACGCCCACAATTAGTGCTTGATATACCTTCAAATGTTGTAATGAGATAAAATCTCTAGATATCTCGAGTTCAAGTCTTAAATACGAAGACGAAGAATCCTAATCATAAAGTATTTTGCCCCTTAATTAGAGTTAAACAACGCAAATATGTATTAGGTGGCCCGGTGTGGATATCTAACACCGGTGAGAAACAAAGAAAATACTTTCTTTCACACTACCATTTGTCCTTTTTATTTATTGTAGGTTGACGTATTAAATATCAAAAAACTACTCTCCCATCTTTTAACAGAAGCTTGTAACTTCCGATCTCTTTTCAACTAAGAGCAGTATAATAGTCAAAGGAGAATGAATCAAAGATTTTAAGATGATAAATGCAACAAGAACAACATACCCAGTGAAATCCCACAAGTGAGATCTGAAGAAGATAGAGTATAACGCAACCCTTAGGAGGTGCAGAGGCTGTTTCTGATAAATCCTCGGCCCAAGGAAAAACAACAAATGCAAATTACTAAATCAATTATTTATTCCAAAATAAGAATACATATCACTTGAGAAAAACTATATGCATAACACGTATTTCATTCATTCGGGAAATAATCACATTGTGTGGGTAAGTTATATCCAAAATTTGTCTTCATAGAACATCAGTATATGATTTATTTTATTCAACTAGGGCCAAGATGACCAATAGTGATAAATAAATATACAACACAAAATGGAGAACAACCATTAAACTGGTGTAGCAAGAAAACCAGAATTATGGAGAACCAAGAATCAGCAGAAAATGACCATAAACTTGATCCTGGTAATCATTCAGAGATGAATCTTAGTTCTTTACTGTGGTTACCTGCCTCAGAAGCATCTGGACAACATCGTTGGAGATGCTTTCAGATTCTGCTTTCAAGTGTTGGATCTTTGCAAACGTTTCTTGATCAAGACGTTTGACATTAGCACCCGAATCACCGCTAGTCTGTAGACAATATTAATATTAACGAGCATACTTAATCAAGGGTAAAGTAAATTGAATAACCGATTACTTCCCTAACAACCCCCCCCCCCCCCCCCACACACACACGAACAAAGGAAGTAGATATAAGAAATAGATGACGATTATACTTTTAGTCAACATCCTTTATGGTGCATTCATAAGAGCTTTATTAGACAGACCAAAAATTCTGATCAAGAATGCAGCCACTAGTTTTGGTCTTAAATGTTCATTTTTCAAATAAAAATAATCGAGTTCATATAACTCCCCACAAACATACTGGTAAGCTCTACGTCTACCCCAGCCTCCCAATACCCCACTTGTGGGACCATACTGGGTATGTTGTTATTTGAGTTCATATAAATGAATGCAACTCAGCCTGTGTAAGCTTTCTCACACTGGCAGTCTGCAGTCCCAAGCCAAGATAAAGAGGAGGGTTGTGGTAGGTTTGACAACAACTGTAAAACTAGTCAATTTCATGAAGAAATAGCCAATCTCAAATAGCTTGGGTTTGAAGAGCAGTTGCTGTTGTTATGGATTAGTTGAGCTGTGCTGGTCCAGACACCACAGTTATAACTAGTACATATATTCATTAGTTATACATTACGTATTATACAATACGGGTTCAATTGATTTCCCTTTTTTATGCAATCTCAAATTAGAGACGCATGAAAAATTGGTTTCTTCCCCAAAAACTATTTGTTTCTTATTTACCTGTTCAAGCTTTCTCTGGAACTCGGCCTCCATGAATGCACGAAATTCAGCTATCTCCTTCTCAGCTTCATCCTTTGCCTGTTTCAATCTAGCCTGTTTTGCTGCACTTGAAACCAAGTCAGGATTCAGAACTTGCTTATAGAACTGATCAATATCAACGCCGGTGCCGTGAAATACAATAGCCACACAGCTCATATTATTAGTTAAGACATGGGGAAGAACAGGTACAAAGTAATGAGCTTTTGGCTGCAGTAGTTATTACTCTTTGCGTGTGACATCCAAAATGCATATTGATTGGTTATGTTGCAGACTTGCAGTTGGCTCAAAATAACAAGTACGGTGTTGAGAAAGGGAAGATTACGTAAAACAGTAAGGCACAGTGGTGAATTGGTAGGAACTAGAGAACCATCCAGATTACATTTTACTTATTCAGTGCATATTAGAGATGAGAATCATCTAGTCTTCCCCTTATATTGGAACTGAGCTGGTTAAGACTGAAAACAAACTCTCAGTGCCCACATTAGAATTGCAATTTGTGTATGTCAAGTGATACTAACCAAAATGTGATCTTACAGGAATCTACCATGCACACTAACACAGGAAGGAAAAAGTTGAACTGCAATGGAAATAAAAGTTATTACGTGGAAGGAGAAAATTCTAGCTATGGACCCATGACTTGAAATAAGTACATGTATGTTGCCGGAGTTTCCTGATCATTGCATTAGTGAAACTAATAGAAATTCAATTCAAAGATCAGAAAACTGAAGGCATAAAAAGGGAAATAAATTACCACTCCTGGCAGCATTGACAATGTGTTGAGCTTCTTGCTCTGCACCTAAAAGTTGTTGAATTCCATTTTGGTTGCCCCTGTTGGATTCCATACTCGTCTGATACACTTATAAAACTACAACAAAGAAGAAAATATGTATCTTAAAGAAATTGATAATATTTGAGAAGCAGAACAAAAAATTATTCAGTAGAATGTGAGCATGCTGTGAAACTATGCTAAAAAGAACAGCCATGACGGCTTTTATGCAAAACTTATCGCCTTTGGAAAGACCAAAATAAGTATTATGTCAAAAGAAAAAACAGTTCATTTACAACATGGTTCAATATAAGGATCAGATTTGAACTAAGATCTTTTTCACGTGTAGTCCAGGTTGTAAATTTATAGGCCGAACTTCGAAGTACCCAACATTTTAGGCTAAACGGAGATGGATTGCAAGTGGGACAGCGAGAACACATGTACTTCACATGTTACCACATTTTGATACTAATTCTATGGCAGCAAAATGCCAGGATATCCTTGTAATAGCTTTGGTGGTCATTGCAATTTCAGGTATCCTATAATTTATTAACTATAGATCCCAATCTATTGCGATAGCCTGGCCTAGGATGAAAAAATATCCCAGTCAAATACTTATGAGGTCTGAAGTTGGTAGATTGTTGAGGTAATGGATGCCTCACTATAGCTTTGAGCTGATGGAGAAAAAAAGATTCTTGGCTCAATGGTAAATAAGCAAGCTATTCCTTCAACTTTTAACTACATGGAAATTTAAGTTAAACATCAGGATGAAAGAGGTTGCAATAAATTCAATCATCAAACAGGAGAGTGGTATTTAATCAGGAAAGACTGGATCAAACAGCCTATGCTCAAACAATTCTCCTCCCAAAATACAAAATCTTTTACTCAATCAACAATTTCTCTAGTTAAAAGTGAGGAAATTCTTCTACTTTTGTTTCCTTCCTTTCTTCTTTGGTCTCCTTCATCTACTTTTGGTCCAAGTCAAACTGCACAAGTTACTCTTCCTAGAATTGTTCTATAGAAATAATAGATCCATCAACACAAAGATATCACTATCAACAAATCAATCAGCTCTAAAACTGAAGCATATTTACCAGAAATTATCAATCACCTACAGCTCAACTCTATTAGTTAGTGTCAGCTACATTCCGATTTAATCACAATTCGGAATATTTTCACACTGGCGATTCAAGGTCAAACTAACTGCCAAACCTTCTATAACTCATTATTTGTTTGTGAATCTCACATAGACTCAAATCATTTTGCAGAAACAAATAGTTGATTATATCTAAATTGGAGAAAGCAAATTCAAACCAGATCATCAAAACAATATATTTTAATCAATAAATTCAATCAGCTCTAATTCCAACCAATTTTCCAGAAACAAGTCAATCAATCACCTAAATCTCAACTCCAGACTAGTTAGAATCAACAGCATTTCACTTTAATAGCAATTCTGTATACTTGTACTCTGGCGATTCAAGGTCAACCAACAGCAAATCTTCTACAGTTCATTATTGTTTGTGAATCTCACCATAGACCTCAAAGCATTTTGCAGAAACAAATAGTTGATTATATCTAAAGCAGAGTAACAAATTCAAACCAGATCCATCTAATACAATATATCCTTATCAACAATTCAATCAGCTCTTTAACGAAACCTTTTCCAGAAACAATCAATCAATCACCTAAACAACAACTCTAAACTATGTAGAATCAACTACATTCTGCTTTAATCACAATTCTTAATAATTTAACACTGGAAGTTCATAGGCAACCAAATGTAAAACGTTAACTCATATTTGTTTGTGGAGTTCACATAGATCTCAAATCATTTTGCAGAGCTCACATAAATCTCAAACCATTTTGTAGAAACCAAATAGTTGATTATATCTAAAGCAGAGTAACAAATTCAAACCAGATCCATCAAAACAATATATCCTTATCAAATATTCAATCATCTTTAAATCCAAACCAATTTCCCATAAACAAGTCAATCAATCACCTAAACCTCAACTCCAAACTAGTTAGAATCAACTACGTTTTACTTTAATCTTAACTTGAAATACTTATACACTAGTGATTGAAGGTCAAACCAACTGCATCTATAACTCATCATTGTTTGTGAAGCTCACATAGACCTCATCATTTTGCAGAAACCAAATAGTTGATTATATCTACAGCGGAGTAAACAAATTCAAACCAGATCCATCAAAACAATATAATCCTTATCAACAATTCACTCAGCTCTAAAACTGAAGCAATTTTTCCAGAAGCAAGTCAATCAATCACCTAAACAGATAAACATCAACTCCAAACTAGTTAGAATCAACTACATTCCGCTTTAATCACAACTCCGAATACTTTCACATTGACGACACAAGTCAAACCAACTCCAAAACCTTCTATAACTCATTATTTGCTTGTGAATCTCACATAAACCTCAAATTATTCAACAGAAACAAAAATGTACTTCAAATTCAGAAGAATCCCATATCAAAATTAGTCAAAACAATCATCTGATCCAGATCTAATCAATTCAAGCTGAAATCAGCATATTATGATCGGAAAAAACCTCAATAATACCTGTAGAAACTGAGAATCGAAATCGGTGCAGCTAAACTTTGAAAGCTTTTTTCTGTGTATGGAAAGAGTTGGGACTATGAAGAGACTACAAACTTGAGGCCTTTTTATACTTGTCACGTTCTCTCTTCCGTTTTGTTTTTTTTTAAAAAAAAATAGAACAAGGAAAATTCTACGTGAACCAAAAAAAAAAGTATTTTATGTAAAAATAGGCATTTTAAATTTATTAAAATATTAATTTACGAAGCACAAAAGGATATAAGAAAGGGAATTTGGTTTAAAACAAATTGGTTAATTTTTAGGCAATTACCACCTAAATGATGGTAATGGCTTAAATCTTATGGAGAGGTATGAAATTTGATAATTTGACATAAAAATGTTATTTTAATTTATAACATACGAAAGGATTAAAATGGAGTTAGTCAATATATGAAAGTATCTGATTGAATTGAATTAGATTAAAATAGATTAAATAATGTGATATTATGTCACAAGTTTAAAATATCTTATAATTATTAAATTTATATCGAGGTAATGATAATTAAGGATTTACTAATATATTAATATCAAGTACGGTGTAAATTTGGGGATGAAATGTAAAATTAGTTTATCCCATATTTAATTAGAAATATTAGATAGTTCATAATAATTAAATAAGTTATCATAATATTTATATCATAATTGTAATTTAAAAGTCTAATTTTGATGGTACATATTTTTCTCTCTATATATATATAAAAGAGTGAACTACTCTCTTGATACATTATTTATTAAAATCAAATCACATTCTTCTTTCTTTCTTTCTTTTTTTCAAATTTAATGATGTTTTTATTGGAGAAAAAGTTTATTTTTTTAAACATTTTTCCTTTTTTTCCTTTATTCCAAACAAATGTTTTTTTAATTGAATGTTCATCCAAACAAAACCTTATCGACACTTTGTTAAATTTCCCAATTTGCTATGACCCCAAAAAAATCTTAAACCGAACCCTACGACACCGTATTCGTCAGTCTCCCTAATTGTCCCCGCCGATTCCCAAAACTCCACCGACGACCACCGTAGCTTTTTCTCTCCGGTCGTTCTTCCGTCGATCTCTTCTCCGGAGATCTTCTTCTCCGTGCACCATTCATCTCTATCTCACTCGCTCCATATATACACACAAATACATACATACATATATTATCTCCCTATGGGTGTCTGATACCATTGGCAATTTCCTCGACTTGCTCTTTTTGCTGGTACATTTCTCTCTATATATATTTATGTACATTTTTTTCTGTTAAGATTTTTGGTTTTTTTACTTAGGAATATTAGTCACTGTGATTAGATTTAATTTGGGCAATCTGTGTCTGTAATTTTTATTTTTTTTTACAATTTTTTCATCATTTGGTGAGAAGTTTATTTACCACATAATGCTACAGTATCATTTTTTTTAATGTAGTGATTGATATATAATTAACTCTAACTAGTTTGGGGCTGAGCAATAGTTGCTTGATTAATGTATACGTTCTCCTATCTCGTTGAGGTAGAGAATTTGTTTTAAAAAGATCCTCAGCTAAAGTTCAGCAAATCATATTGATTACAGAGAAAGAAATACGGCAGTGGAGAAAACAGGTCGATTAAATACGGAAAGCAGTACAAAGCATCTAGAAAAGGAACTGTAATGGTAACTGAATCGCAAAAGACTACCACAGTCGTTGATTGATTGAATTAGTCAAGGTGCTCACAAGCTAGCTAGACGATATGGTAAGGTAGGAAAATGCTAGTAAAAACAAGTTAAAAACTTGATATTCATGTGCAAATAAGATGAAGTAACTTTTACACTTATTGAAAATTCACGTGGAGATAGCGAAGAACAGAATACGAAAGAATTATGGAAGTAAAGTATCATAGGATGACACTAACTAGTGGGTATTAAGGCTGTTATGTTAGGTGTAGAGTTTAGCATGAGTCTTCTTAGTCCTGTCTGTGATTGTTTGGCATTGCAGTATAGATTTGTGGTTTCGAGAATTCCTAAATCAGAGAAATCCTAGTTTTCCCTTAAAGTTGAATTGTGAAGTAATGAAATGAGACAGACCCAAATGGAGTGGAATGGATATAGAGGAGTCACATAGCTGACTGCATCTAGTTTTGGGTTGAGGCCAGTGTAATAAAAGTCACTGCTTGTTGCTTAAAGCAATCAAACTATGCAAAGTGAGGGGTTATCGTTTCATGTGGGTGGAACCTTGTGATTAAGAGAATTTTGTGCTTCATAGTTCAAACAATGACGCCACAAAGTTATTTGGAATTTCCTTCTCTAGGTACCTTCCCCAAAAACATAAATACTAGCAGGCAGTATCTTGTAAACAAAAGAATAAGTTAACCTTGTAATATAGAGTTGCTGTAATTTTTTTCTTGCATTTGCAACTTTGTGATGCAGTTAAGTTGCATTGTATTTTTCAAATGACACTGCAATTTTTTTCTTAATAGATTGCTAAGTTTGTCTTGTTTCAGAGGTATGTCATAAGCAGTAATGGTGGACTACTATGCAACTAACCCTGGACCAGTTGAGGATATTGTGCTGTACGATCAAGATAAACATGTATCATCTGCTGTTTGGGAGGGGCAGGTATTCACTAAGCTAAACTTCCTCCCTTTTTTTGACAAATCACACTTGACAGCAACTTAGTGTTTTAGACAAGGCTTGAATGGCTTATTTTCACTGTTGACAGGAGCGTGGTGCTCTTAGGTGCCATGAGCACACATCAAAGCTCGATCAGTGGATGCTCACAGAGAAACAGGTTGAGTTGGTTAAAATGGCTGGATTTGGCTATTTGAGAATGATACCGGCAATCAGTTTGGATAACCCACTCATATCTTCCCTAGTTGAGAGATGGAGAAGAGAAACAAACACATTCCATTTCACTGTTGGGGAAATGACTGTTACCCTTGAGGATGTCGCGTACTTGCTTGGGCTACCAGTTGATGGTGAGGCTGTTATAGGTGTGACATATACTTCATGTGAAGCAGTCTGTATCAAATTGTTGGGGAAAGCACCTGACTCTGGATATACGAGTGGTGGGATGGTGAAGCTTAGTTGGTTAAAAGAGACCTTCTCCCAGTGTCCGGAGGATGCTTCCATGGAGGATATTGCTCGTTGTACACGTGCTTATCTTCTTTACCTGGTTGGTAGCACCATCTTTTCAACTACAACTGGCAATAAAGTACCTGTCATGTACCTTCCACTGTTCGAAAATTTTGATGAAGCTGGCAAGTATGCTTGGGGTGCTGCAGCATTATCCTTCTTGTACAGAGCACTCGGCAATGCTTCCCTTAGGTCCCAAAGCACAATTAGTGGCTGTTTGACATTATTACAGGTATGATGAGGCTTGGGTATTTTTGCCTTCGAAGGGTTCCGTGGGGACAAAATTTACTTGGCTGTCATGCTTTGACAAGTAATTGAAAATGTAACCGCTGAAACTCTTTATATTAAATCAGGCTGTGAGCAGTTTTTCATCTCTTGCAGTGCTGGAGTTACTACCACCTCAATGTTGGTCGGCCAAAGCTTAATCATGATCCAATCCATGAGTGTTTCCCATTTGTGCTTAGGTGGAAAGGTAAACAAAGCAGTCCAACGTCAAACCGTGATGTGGCATTCTACCGAAAATCATTGGACTCTATGAAGCCATCTGATGTGAGTTAGTTTCTGTAACTTTCTTGTGTTACTTAAATCGTTTATCTCTTAAAGAGCTTAAGAAAATGGAACAATTCTACGTCCAGGTTGACTGGTGTCCTTACTCAAACATTAGTCATACCGTCATACCAGAACATATATTGCGCAGCCTCATTCTGGGGAGATCAAAGACCATGTTGATATGTTATGACAAGGCAGAAAGACACCTTCCAGATCGTTGCCTACGGCAATTTGGCATGCATCAGACTGTTCCCGAAGAGGTACAGAAATGGGAGAGGAAGAGTCGAGGAGTTGATGGTGGTGTAGATCTCTCAACAAAAATGGAATCAGAGCTTAATGAATGGTCAAATCGACATCTCTACATTGTGGAGGCAGAGGAAGATGTTGAGGAAAGTGAATACATGCAGTGGTATATGAGAATTACAAGGAAGTTGGTTGGGAGGCCTGTACCTATCTCATCTGAGTTTCAACGGATGGTAAATTATCAGATATATGTAACTCAGGATTATTTTTTTTTCTTCAATTTTTCAGTTATCCAACATCTGCTCTCTCACTTTGAGTCATGCCTTTGATTTTTCACTATAGTCTGTTTATTTGTCACTGCAGAATGCTGCACTGAGAGAGATTGCCCATATAGCAGAAACCATTTCAACTCATGGGTTGGATGATCAACAGTTACAATCTGTCACAAGAATCCGATATATTACTTATGAATGCCTGAGGGATCAGATTGCAAGTACAGTATTTGTTGCATCAAACTCACAAAGTGAAGCTGGAAAGAAAGTACGTGGAAAGGAGAGAGTAAGAAGGAAGGGGATGGGCAAACGTAAGCGTAAAGAAGAGGTAGACCAATATTATGCAGCAGGGATACCCATGCAACATCGGATACCTGCTACAGCTTTTGATGTTGATCCTTCTCACCTATATCACATCGGCAATGAGATGGACAATCCTCATTTGTGCATTACAGTAAGTGAAGATGATCATGGTCGGATATCTCACGTAGCTCAAAGTGTCGATGATATTGATTTCTGTGAAGATGCTAAGGAAGTTGATGAATCACACTTCCATCATCTAGTTGGAGAACAAGATGACCATCTCTCCAGTGAAGTAGCAGAAGATAAACCTCATGCTTCATTGGATATCGTGGTTCCTCAGGTCTCCCATGAAACTAGAGAGGATGTTGCACAGCAGAACGATTATGGGGTTCTTGTTTAGACCAGTAAAGATGAAATTTATGGCTTGCACAATTTTCAGTTCATTTGGAGATGTTTTTCTCCTCTGTCCTAATTGAGGAGAAAGAAAATTATGCAACAATACTTTGAGCCCCGTTTGAATTGACTTAAAAAGTGTAACTTTTAAAAAGTTAACTTTTTAAAGTGTTTGAAATTTATTTTGCAGTTGAAAAAAAATTGTTGATATGTTTGGCAAATAAATAAGGGCTGGTAAAGACTTTTTTTTTAATCAAAATATGTGAAATATCCTTATAGTTGTTAATATGATAAAAAAAGTTGATTAATTTAAGTTTTTTATACTTGAAAAGAATTAAAACAAAATTATTTTATATTTTATATTCATAAGTAATAATATTTTTCAATCATTTACATATTTTTTTTATCCTCACAAATTAATATAAGAGGAATATAAATTTATTATTTAAGTTAATTTTATATGCGCAATTTATTGTTGATTTTATCTATTATTCACATATTTTTTTATCGTCACAAATTATTTATAAGAGAATTATAAATATATTATTTAAATCATATCTAACAAAATAAATTACCTTTGCTTTTTAAACACTAAATGTGCGCTCTACAATATTTCTATACTAAGAATGCAAAAGTTTATAATAAAATTGTCTCAGTTGAGATCAATAATTTTTTGTTAGAAATTTATACATGTCTAATATAAATTTATTATTTAAGTTAATTTTATATGCGCAATTTATTGTTGATTTTATCTATTATTCACATATTTGTTTTATCGTCACAAATTATTTATAAGAGAATTATAAATATATTATTTAAATCATATCTAACAAAATAAATTACCTTTGCTTTTTAAACACTAAATGTGCGCTCTACAATATTTCTATACTAAGAATGCAAAAGTTTATAATAAAATTGTCTCAGTTGAGATCAATAATTTTTTGTTAGAAATTTATACATATCTGGTAAAAAATTAATATCAACATAACTAAATCAACAAATATTGCATTAATACAAGTTTAAATAGTCACATGGCTAATAAAGTTTTGACATAAATGGCCTGGTACAAATTTATTTTTTGGTTCTTTAACTTACTGATCACAATGTTTACTGATCTTTAACTTACTTTTACTGGCATATTATTAACCACTTCCCAACTAGAATATCCCAACCAACTCCCACTCCTACGCGCCACCGTCAACAGTGGCCTTGTCGCCGGTTGAAACGTCGGCTCTCATTTTAAGCCACTCAACGACATCTCCGAACACTTGCTCCACATTCTCCTCCAGTTCTCCAACCAGCTGGTGCCACATACCTGGATATATCTTCAGTGTTTTGTCCTTGCTTGTCGATCGGCGATATAGCTCCTCCGCGCACGCGGGATCGCAGATGACATCATCGCTGCCGTGGACGATCAGAAATGGTACTTTCACTTCTTCGAATCTCCCTTGCAGCTCCCTACATACTCTCATTAACTCACGCGCCGTCGCGGGGCGTGGTTTTATAAGTGGTCTCCTTGGACTTGCTATTGCCAATTTCCTCTTCCACTCCTCCTTCGTGAATTACCAAAAAAAAGAGAATGCTCAAATGGTAAATTGACAAATTCAGTAACCCAGTTTTGTATTTTAAGAAAAGATAGCTCGGTGTACTAGAGTTTTTCGCTACTCACGAGATTTGAATTCGAAAATGAAATATAAATAGATTATTTTATATTTCTACAAGAGATTGTTTCTACAATTTGCATTTTTATATATGTATAAATATTAAACTTAAAATTTAATTGAAAACGAATCTAGCCTTTATACTAAACTTAATTGAATTGACGACTTATTTAAATTCATTATAGTCATCTTTTGATATTAAATTCATTTGAACTTAATAGTTTCTACAAGGACATAAATTTATATATGAAAATTTAATAAATAAATCATAAATATAAACATATGATTATTAAATATAATGAGTTAAATAATAAAAATCTTAAATATAATAACTAAAAGCTCAATTATATTGAAATCGAAACAAATATTTTCATTATCAATTACATACCTTGAATGCAACCAAAGGCAACGAGCCGCGAGTGGGGACCACGGGCCAAGTCGGAATCAAAACGGCAGCGATACCAAGTAGATGTTCTAGAGGCCACGGCGGTTTGAACTTATTGCTAATCCCATACATAGCTCCATTCAAAACGACGCCGTCAAACGACCGGCGGGGAGCAGAATCGCCTTCCCGGAGAGTGATTAGAAGCGCGATAGCACCGCCGAGGGATTCAGCATAGAGAAACGACGGCAGAGACGGCGGAACATGGAGATCCCGAAAGGAATCGAAGAAACTAATACAGTCATCAACAACGAGATTTAAATCAGGAATATGAGCAATTAATCCATCGGAGAATCCATGACCTTGATGATCAATCGCACAAACGATAAATCCGTTTTTCGCGATGTGAACAGCTGTGAGTTGAACAAACCAGCTCGATTCTCCGGTGAATCCATGGACGACACAAACGACGCCGATGATTTTCGTCGGAGGAAGTGGGGACCACCATTGAGTGAAAAGCTTTAAGCCTCGTGAATTTGTAATGAATTCGGAGTTGTGAGTTACTGAGTGGTGAGAGTAGAACTCGGATTGACTCAGTGTGCCGAACGGACTCAACTCGTTCGCTTCTGCTACTGGATGCTTCATTTTTGTTTTCTCACGGCGGTGCTGCTATAATGCGCCGCGGGGGGATAGGATAGGATATAACCGAAATAGGGAACATGCAAACAACAAGATAACAAAGAGGATTGGGAAAAAATAGTGTGATTCGTCGTGTATTGAATTTATTTTTGTTGTTAAAAATAAAATAAAATAATTATTTGTTAGTTGGTAGTTGGAATTAAAATAATGTAGGTAGTGGTGGGTGATAAAATTAGTACATGGAAAATATGACTCGCCTAATTACATTAAAATTTGAACGAATTAAATTTTGTTGGCTACGACGATAGTTGTGAATTGTGATTATATTATAGCGATACGTATTCTTTTTTTATTCAATTTAATTATTACTTTAATATATTTTTATTCGTTTAATATTATTCATTTAGAAAGAAATTGACATATAATACAAATTAAAATAAAATTTGAAGGATCAATTGATTATATGTCCATTTTCTATTTGATACTTCATTGACATATAATTCAAATTAAAATAAAATTTGAAGGATCAATCAATTATATGTCCATTTTCTATTTGACACTTCAAACAAAGCGAGAGAAAAGGTCCGGACGATACTATACTTTTTCTTTTCACGGTTTCTTTTCGAAGAAAAGGCCTTCATATTCCTAATTTGGTAGGGTCAGATAGTATTCTTTGCCTCAGCTTAACGAATTGCATCCCCACATAATGACACTCGTTGTTTATGCGCTTTTTACCTACTTAACATTGATTTGGAGGAATCTTCCTTTGTTCATCAAGTTAAGTAATTTGCTATAGAAATTTCTCCACCGCTTATCTCATGTCGTGCTTCTCTTTCCTTCTTTCTATATTACATACATATGTACAATTTTTATCACTTATTTCTTTTATCGCTTTATCTAAAGTAAAGAAAGGAATATGAAGAGCAAAAAAAAAGTCAAGAAAAATAACATTATTTAACTCATTTTGACTTGGTTCATTTCATATCAGTTCATCTATTTATTGATTCAACTATTTTAATTTATCTAAATTTAGCTCAACTCATCGATTTAATACTGAACGTATTATAAAAGTAAAAAAAATTGTTTGCAAAAGATTCAATTTTGAACTGATTAATGCAATCAAAACAAACACAAATCAAACATTGTTTCCTCAAACTAAACTTCATAAATCACAAACACATATTCTAGAGCAAATATATGTTGCATCACTTATCTCCATTTGCATCCCCTCAGTATTAGTTGGTAGATTGCTGCAATAAGTGCTCCTGTGAAAGGTCCTCCAGAAAAGATCCCCTGTAAAAAAAAATATCAAATATTAAAAAATAAAAAAATATTTGCAATATGATAGTAATATTTATGTATAAAAAGTATTTGATATTTAAGCTATATACCTGACTAAATTATCTGATATCTATATTGAAGAGTCAATTAATTAATAAGGGCTAGATAGAATGTTAAGTATTGATTCGTCTTTAATTAGAATATTGTCTTCGAACTCTGAATATAGAATCACCTTATTCAGTAACACTTTATTTTCGACGTGCGACTTTCAAATATGATTTCAAATTTACGATAAACTTAGTTATTCCTTGTACATTAATTCGATATCATATAAAGTTCATATTCTGATTCCACATAACTTTTAAAGCTCAAAATATAAGTCTGACTCACACATCACACATTACGTTGTTATTACTAAATCAAAGAAGGGGGGGGGGGGGTGTATTCTTACAAGGGTCCTCCCATGCTATTTGTTGATTGTAGATGACAGCAGCTCCAAGACTTCTAGCAGGGTTGATCCCTGTGCCAGTAATTGGGATTGTGGCCAAGTGGACCAAAAACACAGCAAATCCAATTGGTAGAGGGGCCAACACCTACAATAACATAATATACATTTTAGAAGTTTGACCAAACAGATTACGGAATTTGAATCAGAAAATTTCTATTCTAATCTTGTCAGTATTTAATAACATACAAACATAAGATTAATCGAGATACGTTGTTCAATCAAACATGTATAGGTTAACTAAACGATAATAATTGAGGTTAAACTCAAAATGAACTATTATACTTACAGGAACATGTGAGTCTCTAGCATTCCTCTTAGAGTCAGTGGCCGATAAAACCGTGTAAACAAGAACAAATGTTCCAATCATCTCCGCGGACCATGCAACGCCCCTAGTATAGCCGGGGCTGACCGAGTTAACGCCACCACCGTAGAGTTCGAACTTAGATTTATAAATGGCCTTAACTAGAGCAGTACCACAAATGGCTCCCAAATATTGAACTACAATGTACAATAAGCCTCTTATTAAAGATATTTTCCTTGAAAGGAATAGCCCAAAGGTCACTGCTGGATTAATATGACCACCTACAATAATCCCAAAAAAGTAAAATATCATAAAGTATAGATTAATAAGAAAACTAACAAATTGGACCTACTAGGTGAAGTGTTTACTCAAATTGGAGTCTATGTAATATATTTATCCTTGTTGGATCTATGGTCGACTATTTATTAG